CCCCAGCTGCCCCTTGCTGTTTTGATGCTTGGCTGTCACGTTTCGGGCTTTCACTCCTCCGAGGCGAGGAAGATCTGCTACTCCAGGTGCGCTGATTTGTCCTCCCTCTGTTTTGTGGTTCCCAGCCTGGTGGTGACCAACCCGGAGGTGCCTTAGGACACTTGTAGAACGGGTGGCCAGACTCCTTGCAGTACCAACACACGAGGTTTGACCGCCCCCCCTTTCCTTCGTTGCCTTTGATTTTTTCTCCACCCATCGCATGCTGTCCTCCCGTTGACCTTGCCGTATTCTGGTTGCCCTCGGTTCTCTCCTTTGCTGGTGAAGTATCTCCACGTGCCTGACCAGCCATGCGAGGAGGACGCTTGTCACGGTTGGTTTTGCTAATGAGGTCTTGGTAGCGTTGTTCTTGAATCATCATTCGCTGTAGTGTGTAACTGTCTGAGATGTCGTGTAGTATTGCCGAATGCCTTAGCTCCTCCCAATGCGGTGGCAGCCCGGTAATCAGATTCAAGGTGAATGAATCTTCATCCACCAATTTTCCTGCCATTGCCAGCTTGTCCCGAATTGCAGTTGCTCTGTTGATATATTCCTCCACCCTTTCTTGGCTCCCCATCTTCAGGTTGTCCAATTGCCTCTGGAGAGACGCTTTTGCAATCGAATCCTTCGCCTGGTAAGTTTCCATCAGGTACTCCCATGCTTCGAATGCCGGACTGTATGACTCTTGGAACACGTCCAGTTGTAGCTGAATTGTTGCGCACACGCTATGTAGAAGCACCCAAAAAACCAGCGTAGCACGTTGGGAGTAATCCGCTTGTAGAGTTTCCAGCCGATCCATTGCATCTCGCATTTCTCCATTCACCATTGTAACCGGGTATCGTAGTGTCACGAAAAACTCCCACAAATCTGTCACACGCGCGTTCATGCGAAACCGAAGAGCCCACTCTCGAGAGTTAGTGTCGTCGAACGGGGTTGTGGTGAACGCTTTGTCCACTGCTGCTACCACCATCTTGCGTGATAGTCTGTCTTTGTCTTATTCGGTGTATTCGCGAGGAGACGGGTCGAAGAGTGTTGGCACGGTAGATGGTCGAGGTATTTGCACGGTGCGTTGTGTGCCTTCACGTTCCACCACCTCCACTTGGTCACGTCTGTGAAAATTGAACGAGAATGAATGAGAATGAAGGAGTGGTTTCACTAGCAGCAATGAGGATACATATAGCAAACCCTAGATGGGTTGTACTCGCTATAGAGCACCCCACTACAGGCTAGAGAATAACATTCTGACACACCCCCATAGCCAAAGTGGGGTGTAATCAGCACAATGAGCAAGCAGGCATAGAGCAAGAGTTCACAATAGGTAAGTAAGGCTAGAGCTAATCACAGAGGGCAAGTGAGGAGGAGGAGAGACTGTGGGGGAGAGAAGATGGGAGGCGACTGCTGGCGCTGCAGACACACAGACGAGCTGCTGGCTCAGTGGCTACCGAAGCAAAGGCCCGGACTACAGGAGTAACTGGCTCCGCGGCTAAAAGTAGCGGCAGACGAGCAACTGACCCACAGGCGACTAGCGACTACCGGAGATTGTAGCCTCCGGACTGCTGGTGCTGCTGACGACAAGACTGCTGCCTCCACGCAACCTCCCCCAGCTGCCCAACGCCCCTCTTACACACCCCCTGCTCAAACCCTAACCCTACACCCACAGCACCCCCGTAAACCCTAAACCCCAGACGTCCACACATCCAGCTCCCTCAAAACCCTAGCTCCACTCCCACAGTACCCCCCTTAAACCCTAAACCCCAGGCTCCCATACATCCACCCCCCTCAGCGACAGCTGCAGCAGTGGGAGACGAAGGAGGAGGAGGAGCAGGGGAGACCACACACCCGTCACCCCCTTCTTGCCACCCCCAAACCCTAACACAGGGCAGGGCGGGATGGCGGGTAGGGAGGGGGGGGGGGGGGGGGGGGGGGGGGGGGGAGGGGCGACGCGCGGCCTCCCAGGGCGCCAAAGCAGGCGGCAGAAGGGGCGACGCTCGCCCCCCCCCCCAAGGTTGCCCCTCCCGTCGCTTGTCGAGGCGACCTAAGGGGGCCACGTGCGGGAAAAGGAGGGGGGGGGGGGGGGCGGTGCACCGGTGCGTCGCGGCTGGCGGCGGGGCATGGCCGGGGCGGGGCCGGGGCCGCTGTAGGCGGCGACGGAGCCGAGGAAGGGCGGCGACGGGGCCGCTGAAGGGCGGCGACGGGGCCACTGAAGGGCGGCGACGGGGCCGCTGAAGGGGTGGCGGCAACGGGGCCGCTGAAGGGGCGGCGACGGGGCCGCTGAAGGGTGGCGACGGGGCCGCTGAAAGGCGGCGACGGGGCCGCTGAAGGGCGGCGACGGGGCCGCTGAAGGGCGGCGACGGGGCCGTTGAAGGGCGGCGACGGGGCCGCTGAAGGGCGGCGACGGGGCCGCTGAAGGGCGGCGACGGGGCCGCTGAAGGGCGGCGACGGGGCCGCTGAAGGGGTGGCGGCAACGGGGCCGCTGAAGGGGCGGCGACGGGGCCGCGGAAGGGCGGCGACGGGGCCGCTGAAGGGCGGCGACGGGGCCGCTGAAGGGCGGCGACGGGGCCGCTGAAGGGCGGCGACGGGGCCGCTGAAGGGCGGCGACGGGGCCGCTGAAGGGGTGGCGGCAACGGGGCCGCTGAAGGGGCGGCGACGGGGCCGCGGAAGGGCGGCGACGGGGCCGCTGAAGGGCGGCGACGGGGCCGCTGTAAGGGGCGGCGACGGGGCCGCGGAAAGGGCGGCGTCGGGGCCGCTGAAAGGGCGGCGACGGGGCCGCGGAAGGGCGGCGACGGGGCCGCTGAAAGGGCGGCGACGGAGCCGCGGAAGGGCGGCGACGGGGCCGCTGAAAGGGCGGCGACGGGGCCGCGGAAGGGCGGCGACGGGCCGCGAAAGGGGCGGCGACGGGGCCGCGAAGGGGCCGCGAGGGGCCTGGAAGGGCGGCAACGGAGCCGCGAAGGGGCCGCGAGGGGCTAGGAAGGGCGGCAACGGGGCCGCTAAGAGAAGCGCGAGGGGCACGCCACGGGGCGTGCCGAGCACAGCGTAGCAGCGGAAGCAGTTGGGTCCTAGGATCGGAACCACTCTGATAACATGTGAAAATTGAATGAGAACGAATGAGAATGAAGGAGTGGTTTCACTAGCAGCAATGAGGATACATATAGCAAACCCTAGATGGGTTGTACTTGCTATAGAGCACCCCACTACTGGCTAGAGAATAACATTCTGACAACGTCGCATAACTCCACTTGATTGCATTCCGTGCCCCATGCGCCCAATGCTTCTTGCAGGTACCGCTTCCAGTTGAGACCACTGTGCACGAGGAGGTACGACGTTGCCATAAAGGTGAGATCTGCCCATTATGGGAACTCCAATGGGATGGGAGTTAGTGGCAAGTCGACGTAGTGGGGGAGCACCAATAGTGTAGGATTCGAATCCCACACCCTCCATGCCCACATGACTGCTTCTACCACTCCCTTCACCAATCTGCCCTCTCATGTTTCTTCCCACGCCAATCCCATCACCATGTGCCCTCATATCCCTTCCACTCTCGTACTCATCATCTCTCCCCAATGCTTCCCTTTGCATGGTTGATTGAGGTTCGGGGTGGGAGCTCCCCTCTCCTTGGAAGGATGCATCCCTCCCTTGGGATGACTCTCCTCCTTGGGGTATGCTTCCTTCCCCGTCACCTTCAATTCCTGCATCCACATTTGAAGTGTTGGTTTGGTTAATACGCTGAGTGCTTGCATGTGACTGTCCACGGATAGATGGGTTGCTGGAATCTCGAACTTGGACTGGCATGTTGAATCTTGCTCTTAAAGAAGCTTGGAGTGTCGGTGGTGCTCTTGCGATCATGCTTTCCACGTGCTCATGTTGAGCCAAGATTGCTTCTTCGAACGCCTCGTATCCAGCATCAACTTCCCCGTCGAACCGCGCCATGCCGTCACACCAAATGTTGCCACTTGCTGTGCAGATTTGCTAATCTTCTTAACCAATGTAGATGATGATTGAGTTCTGACGAAATTTCGGCAACATGCCCCCTAGAGTAGCTCTGATACCATGCTAGAAAGGCATGATGCCGGCGTTGCGGAAGCTAGTTTGTAGAAAGAGCAAGGCTGGAAGACTTGCACTGAATGGTTGAAACCAGAATGAGAATAATGGAATTGATTGATACAGTGGAATGACAGTGCAGGGTATTTATCAGCAGCTAACCTCCTCAGGATGGCCCTATCCACACCAATAATGCCACACCAATAATTCTTACCCTCCAATAATTCTAGACTCCAATAATTCTGGCCCTCCAATAATTGTACAATTATTGGAGGGCTGGGAGTCTTATAAAGTAACACTACAGTAAAATCTAACAGCATTTGTATAAGCTTATGTTAGTATATTTAACAATATTGGCACACCTGGCATTTTTCGATACACTTATGTGAAAAAAACATGTGTAGTGCTCAACATTTACGAGAAGAAAAAATCATGGTTAGAACACTTGATTTGCATCTCTTGGAATGGTACACGCCCTTTATATAAGCACAGCTACACTCCAAGGTACACTGGTTTCTTTTGGAATGGTACATGCCCTTTGTATAAGCATCGCTACACTCCAAGGTACAGTGGTTTCCGTTTTTCTGCAAATGCAGCCAACCCCTCGAGCCTGTCTCTTGATCTCAACACGCCTCTATAGCAGTGCTCCTCTATTTGAAGACCGCCTTTCATATCCACATCTTGGCCTTTGTTGATCGCCTCTTTAGCGAGTCGAACGGCAAGATGCCCCTGCAGTGGCAATCGGAAGAGGGGATGAAATGGGCAGAAGAGAAGTGCAGAGAAATTGGTGTACTGAGGGTTGCCCTTCCTGCTATCAAAGACACTTAATAGCTTTGAAACAAGTGCGCTTCTTGTTTCGAAGGAAAGCATAAGAGAAGCATACATTGCAGATCCTCATTTTGTTGTGAACTTGTGATTCGGCTTACATTGCGCTGGATGGTTCTTGCGATTTCAAGGGCTGTGTCGTGTGCAGTTCCCGCAGGCACACAGTGGCTCACAATACCTGTATGCATGCATGTGCACGTGCATGCATACACACATATGGGCATTGCAGATGGATGCATACATGTGTACATGCAATGCAATGCATGCAGGTGCACACCCGCACACACGCACATGCATGGATGCAGATATACCCACGTGCATGCACACTTACAGAAACATGAGCAGAAAAAACGGTATGGAAAATCCCTGTTCCCAGACACATCAAAACATATATATACTGGGAAATGAGCCAATCTTTGGGGCACATAAGAGAACGTTGTGAATTGTCTGTGAACTTCTTGTTGATTGGCCATTTACACCTTCTCAACGCACTTGCCCTCCCTAACCCCCCCCACCACACTCGCCCCTCTTTTCCCCCCTCGCCCCCACTCGGCCACCCCAGTCCCCCCTCACTCTCACCAAGATAAAGAGCACCGTCGACTCTCTCACAACCCGACCCGTGCCGTGAATGGCGATCCGTGGCTCGAGATACTCTGAGCACCACTTTTGAGAGTTCTCTTTTGGGATTCACTTTTGAAAATTCTCTTTTGAGAAATTCTCAAATGTGATCCGTGGCTCGAGATACTCTGAGCACCACTTGCACGCACGGAAGGCCTGAACTCACCTTAATTGCCCACCCCATTCTATATTCCCTCTCACCAAGAGAGAGAGCCTTGTCGGCTCGTGAGGCGCCTCAAAAGTTCCCTCTCACCAAGAGAGGCCGCCTTGTCGGCTCGTGAGGCGTCTCAAAAGTTCCCTCTCACCAAGAGAGACCGCCTTGTCGGCTCGGACGACCCGAACCGTAAAAGTGAGCTCCTTGGCTCGAGATGCTCCAATAAGGCACTCCTTGCTCTCATGCCACCTTAAGGCGCCACCTTGGTTATGCCACAATCAATGCCCTCCCCATCCCCCCGTCACCCTCGCCCTTCCCTCTCACCAAGAAAGAATGCCTCGCTGACTTCTGAGTCGCCTCAACGCCTCGCTGACTTCTGAGTCACCTCAACGCCTCGCTGACTTCTGTGTCGCCTCAATGCCTCGCTGACTTCTGAGTCGCCTCAACGCCTCGCTGACTTCTGAGTCGACTCAAAAGTCACCCTCGCCCTTCCCTCTCACCAAGGGAGAGAGCCTCGTCAGCTCGCACAACCCGGGCCGTGAAAATGAGCTCCTTGGCCCGCGATGCTCTCAACACCCCTTCCGCTCATGGCACCTCAAGTCAAGGCAACACATTGGTCCCCTTGCCCTTCTTTCTCACCGAGAGAGAGTGCCTCGTCAGCTCGCACAACCCGAGCCGTGAAAATGAGCTCCTTGGCTCGAGATGCACCGACGAGGCGTGGTAGCCGCTGTGTGCCTCCCGCCCTGCATTGATCATTGGAAGGTACGGGGTGAGGGGAATGGGATGGTAGGAAGGGGATGGAATGAAGGGGTGGGAGGGGAGCAGATGAATTGACATGAGACGAGATGAAAATGAGCTCCCTTGGCTTGAGATGCACCGATGAGGCGCGGTAACCGCTGCGTGCCTCCCGCCCTGCATTGATGGGAGGTGATGGGGATGGAAGGACTGGGATGGGAGGATTGGGATGAGAGGAATGGGATGAAAAGAATGAGATGAGAGGATTGGGATGGAGGAAGGGTGGGAGGAGATGAGATGGGAAGTGATGAATATGAGCTCCTTGGCTCGAGAGATGCACCGACGAGGCGTGGTAGCCGCTGCGTGCCTCCCACCCTGCATTGACCGTTGGAAGGCATGAGGTGAATTGAATGGGACGGGGGGAGGAGTGATGAAATGGGATAAGATGAGATTGGAAATGAGCTCCTTTGCCTGAGATGCTCCGATGAGGCATGGTAACTGCTGCGCGTGCCTCCTGCCCTGCATTTATTGCTGGGAGATGAGGGATGGGATGAGAGGAATGGGATGAGAGGAATCGGGTGAGAGGAATGAGATGAGAAGAATGGGATGAGAGGAATGGGATGAGAGGCATGGGATGAGAAGGTGGGATGAAAGGTGAGGAATGGGAGGGATGGGATGAGACGAGAGAAATGGGAGGAAATGGATGTGAGGAGATGAGATTGAAATGAGATGAGACGACATGACTGATGAATGGGATTAGGGGAAACCTACAACCGGAAGAACTGTTACAGGGGGTTGTGCTATCTCGCAGTCGATTGCTGTCAGCATGAGGTGCGAGGAACACACAAACTGCAACGACCACAACTGATGTGCTGACCTCTTAGACACTGTGCCCGGCAGGTTGAATAACTCTCACAACACTTTCACACAAACTAGACATTCACGTGCTGGCCTCTTAGTCACTGTGAGCAACGAGCTGGTCTTTGAGAATTCTCAAAAACCAACTGATGTGCCTCAGCAACGAGCTGTATGCATGTTGGATACCTTGCATAACACTTTCACACTAGCTAGACATTCATTTTCTGATCTTTTAATCTCTGAGAGCAAAGATGGAGGTGCTTTCATGCACGCACCCGGGAATGATGGCAAGCGATGTCTCTGGCAGGCCAAACCGGGCATTGAAGCCTGCAAGATGAAAGAGGGGTGCGGGAAAAGAGAGGTGGATGAGAGGAGGATAGCCAAAGACAACTGTACACTTCGAATGATGTCTCTGGCAGGCCAAACCGGGCATTGAAGCCTGCAAGACGAGAGAGGGGGGTGGGAAAAGAGAGGAGGAGACGAGAGGAGGATAGCCAAAGACAACTGTACACTTCGAATGATGTATCTGGCAGCCCAAACCGGGCATTGAAGCCTGCAAGGAGAGGAGAACGGGAGAAAAGAAGTGGAGAGGAAGTAAAAAAGGTGGCTTTGAGGCGCCTCCAAACTTAAATGGGAGTGGATAAGTACAAGGGTTGCTCTTGACAAAATTCAGAAGCAACTCCATAGAAGCCTGGGAGAGACATAGATGGGAGTGGTGAGGGCAGGCATGGATGGGAGTGGTGAGGGCAGGCATGGATGGGAGTGGTGAGGGCAGGCATGGATGGGAGTGGTGAGGGCAGGCATGGATTATGAAGGTGAAACGCACACTGACATACCTTCCTCTGCTTTACCTCCCTCTGCTTTACCTCCCTCTGCATAACCTTCCCCTGCTTTACCTTCCTCTGCTTTACCTTCCTCTGCTTTACCTTCCTCTGCTTTACCTTTCCCTGCTTTACCCCCCTCTGCTTTACCCCCCTCTGCTTTAACCCCCTCTGTTTTACCCCCCTCTGCTTTTCCCCCCTCTGCTTTACCCCCCTCTGCTTTACACCCCTCTGCTTTACCTTCCTCTGCTTTACCTGCCTCTGCCGCACCTAACTTAGCCGAACCTACCTCTGCCATACCTACCTATGCTATGCCGTACCTGCCTCTGCCGTACCTGCGTCTGCTCTGCCGTACCTGCCACTCTGATGTCACAAGCTAGAAGCATTTCCAGTCCCCCGCCCAGTGCTGCTCCCTCAACTGCTGCCACTGTTGGTACAGGCAGGTTCTGAGGCGAAAGGTAGGAGAAAAGATTGGGAAGGAGAAAATTCAAAGGAGGGGGGTGAATGAGTATGAAGACTGGAGGAAATGAGAGCATAGAAAGTGGGAAAATTGGGTTTCTGTCAAAAGAGGTAATCTCCAAGCCTCGAAACAATGTCACCGCCTGCAACTTGACCTCTCCCTTACTCAACGTCAGTGAACTCTCCTTGGGGTCTGCTAAGACGCTCTGCTTATTCCTCAGTGTTTATTCGTATTACTATACTCTTCAGCGTGGGTGTTTGGTCTAGTGGCATGATTCTCGCTTAGGGTGCGAGAGGTCCCGAGTTCAATTCTCGGAACACCCCTTTTTCCCGCTGTCAATTGTAACCAGAATTCATGAATTCCACTCCACAACCATGAGAATTACTGTAGGGACTTACCAGTACCAAGGCGTGTACACTTGTGCTGCTGCACAAGACTCCCTTTCATGTTTGAAGTGGATAGCTCACCTCATGCGGCATAAATTCACTGCATACGTGCAGCACGCCACCATGAAAGATAAACAACATTGCACTAACATTCGCTGCATGATTGCTGCAAGGCATGAGAATTTCTCGCACACAGCATGATCATTCACCACTCACAGCATGAGAATTCACCGAACTCGGTATGGAAATTCGTCGCATCCAGCATGGACACTCACCTCAAGGTCAGTGAACGCTTCCCTGAGACTGCTGACAAATGCTTCCGCCTCTTCCTGTGTCATGCCCTTGCGCTCCTGGTGGTGGGTTCATGGTAAAAGAAAGATTTTGTCGGGTTCTACACAGAATTTGATATGATACGGGTGTTTGGTCTAGTGGCATGATTCTCGCTTAGGGTGCGAGAGGTCCCGAGTTCAATTCTCAGGACACCCCTCAATGTTATTGATGCAGGAACTGTTTTGCTACATCCACCTCACAAACATGGAATTCAGTGCATCCACTCACATGGCCTAGCACTCTTTGACAGCATCACACCCTTACTGAGGGCGTGTTGCAATTAGAGGATCGATCGTCTCTTCGAACCGATCCTCAATGTGGTCTACCACTGTAGCGGAAGGTTACCATACTACAGTGTTACCGGTAGCACTGTGCACGACCGAGGAGATTGGCGGAAACCAGCTCGATCGCCTCGCCTCGCCACGAAGATTGATCGTGAGATTGACGATGCAGACAACATCCAGTCACGAAACCATTTCGCGATGCGCAGAAAAACTCGCATGTCAGCGTTATACGGGCTGCAAAATTTGACGAGAAAGTGGCGAACAGGGTGTTTATTGTTTCTGCGTTTGAAAAGCGAAACCACACTATCGCAATACTCAAGGTGGTAGTATGCTTGGGCGGTCGTGGTACAGTGATCGATAACGCAGTGAGCCCAGGATCTCCAACAAGGGATCGGTGTGCAGCCACGATCCTTCGATTTTCGAACTTGCAACTCGCCCTGATTGAATGGAAACTCTCAGACACCACGTGCATACATAGTCACCTTGTACCATCATGTTACAATAACCCACAGCTTACCTTAGGTTTGAGTCACCTTCAATACACTCACAAAACATACCTTGAGGTCTGCCCCTGCGCAAAACACTCCATCCACTGCGCTCCTTATTATCACAACTCGCACTGCTGCTTTCCCCGTCTGCTCCTGCTGCGTCCCTGCCACTGCACCCTCTGCTTTCCCTGCTCGCTCCACCCCCCCAGCTCCCCCATCTCCCCTTACTTCCGCCATGGCCTCCAAGAGATCTGCCAGCAGCTGTTTGCTGATGGCGTTGCGGGCCGCAGGGCGGTTAAGGGTCACCACAGCGATGCCTGGAGGGACAGACGCAAGGGGGAGACGGGAATGTAAGGTGGCAAGGGGTGGAGGGGAGGAGGGTTGGGGTGTGTGGAAGAGGGGCAGTGTGAATAACAGGAGGGAGGTGGCAGTAAGGTGGTCTGTATAAGATCTGCCAGAAGCTGTCTGCTCATGGCGTTGCGGGCCGCAGGGCGGTTGAGGGTCACCACAGCGATGCCTGGTGGGAAGGCAGAGTGGGAGGATGGGGGACGCTGGGGTGGGGGAATGCAATGAAAACAGGGAGGATAGCAGGGTGGAAAGAAGAAAGGAGGTGTGAGCCGTACTACATTGTTGTTTTTGTTTTTGTTTTTTATTTTGTTTTTGGATTTGTTTAGAACTTTCCGCCATGGCATCCATGAGATCTCTCAGCAGATGCTTGCTGATGGCGCTGCGGGCTGCAGAGCAGCGATGGGTGGGAAGGTTGGGAAGGTGGGTTGACAGGAAGGTGGGTGGGAGGGGAGGAGGGAGGATCATGGGAAGGAGGGAGGATCATGGGAAGGAGGGAGGATCATGGGAAGGAGGGAGGATCATGGGAAGGAAGCAGGAACGACGGGGTGAGCATCAGATCTGTCATCAACTGTTTGCTCATGGCGTTGCGGGCTCTGAGCTTTTTATGAATCCCCATAAAAATAAAAATAAAATGTTCCGAAAATATTATTTACAAGGCAGCACGCACCCTCGTCGTCCCCTGTGAGGTAATCCAACTGCACCAACTGGGCACCGCCACGTGGACCCACCACCGAAGATGTCTCCACGGAGTACCCCCTCCTCGGCTGCCACGTGGCAGGAAACGCATCGGCAAAACCAGACGCGGCGAAGGAGCTGGGTAGCGTGGCAACCGAAGGTGCAGGACACGTGGCACTGGTAGTAGAAACCCGGGAAGCACAAGACGAGCCGCCGGTTGAGCGAGCTGACGTGGCAAAGTGAAGCTGCGAACTTCGCAGTGCCAAGATATCCTCGCTACAATCACCGCGCCGCTGTGCACCGGGAGATAATATCGAGGGTGGCGAGAGAGCTACAGGGGAAGCTGACACTACAAACGGTGCCACGAGCGCGGCGGGTGATAATAGAGGCGTTGGAAACGCGGCAGGGGATGGGATTAGCCGCCGCGCCGCGCGAACGGTGGCGGAAGAGCGGGCCATACGGAGAAACGGGGAGTTTGTGAATCTGTTCGACACTAAGATACGCGGGGAGTTTAAATCAGCTCTGGATTCCCGAATGGAACTTTGTTTTTCTTTTAAAGCGAAAATTAAATCGCGAATAGCGAGACTACCATTCTAGCCTCAGCGAGCAGGTACGGACGGCACGGGATAAAACACGGGAGGGAGAGTTCATGGAAGAAGGCCTGAAACAGGGGAGGTAAGCGTGTGGTAAAATCCGTCGGGCGGGACGCACGCACGGCGGCAATGAGCGGAAGGACAGACTGTGCTGGATAGTCCCGGGCGGAAAAGCTATACGTGCGATGCAAATGAATCTGCATGCAGGGGGTGTTATTAGGGCGACGCTTCAAGGTTGGATTAAGAAGGGACGAGATTGTGACTTGCCTGCTGAAGGTGAAGGAGAAGGGTTAATTTTATTGCGGTCAAGGAAGGCGAGTTGCGTTTCCATACGTTTAGATGTTTATATACAATGGTTGAATAGGGTTTTGAGGTGTTACGGAAATCCACATGTATTTGACTCTCGATTCAGTCTGTGTCAGCGAGGGTGGCCTGGCCCGTGACTGAATGGAAGTCCATGGCCGTCATCCTTCCGCGTGGCTGAGGCAGCATGACGTGTGCGGAGATGGCAACACCGTGGAATGATGCTAGGCGACACCGATTGTGGCCAAACGAACTGTCAGACCTACGATCGCCAATTCTTCGTCATGAGGCACGGTTACTCTCGCAAATCAGGGACTCTCGAGATTTTGGCTCAATACACTCGGAGTAACTATTTCTTTCCCGAATAGGCTCTGTTACCGTAACCTGTATCTCGCGAATTCAACGGCAAGTAGTTTTCACACAAACGGTGCCCCATAATTCTGTCAGATTTCGGTGCTTCCCTTCCATCTTCCCGCCATTTGGATAAATTGCCTGTCACATCATCAGTTACGCCGTGCTGTGCTGATCTTTTGACGAGCAGCAACGTCCGATCTTTTGACGAGCAGTGAGCCTACTTTCCAGGCAAGGCGGTCATCGAAATAGAGGATTTTCGTCGTTAGGGTTTCGCGTTCGAGGCTCAGGGGGAAAGATGGCGAATAAGGGAGCGAAGAAGCGGAAGGAGGAGAACGAGAAGCATATGAACCGGCTGCAGAAGCTCATCGTGACCGTTAATGTACGTTCAGCTGAGCAATCGTGTGCGTCCGCCGGGCCACCTGTCGGGTGACCATTGGCGCCCTTTGGCTTCTGTATTTCGATTTTCTCTTCCCTACAGGCTGATTCAGTCTTTGCTTTGCGAGTCGCGATTATTTCTGAATCTCATCCGTTGACAGCAGCTTGAACCATTTTCCACTTTCTTGCACCTTTCCTCTTCCAATCGTTCATAAAAGAATCACCATTGCACATCCCTTTCGTCGCGTCCTCTTTCACCTGGAGATCCCATTCCGCGTTCCCCGCTCCCGACTGTTTTCCTCTTTTTAGTTTAATTCCTTTTCGTTCCGTCCAGGGGATTTACTTCCTCGTGCGTCTCTCGCTCTCCGTCTCCTCCTTCGTCTTTGCCTTTTCTTTAACGTCTTCTCATTCACCCACTTTCGCCATGGTTATCGCATGGCTTTCGCCCAGGCGATTTACATCCTCGTGCGACTCTCGCTCTTCTTCGCGTCCTTCACGTGGCGCCACTGGATCGGCCTCGTTATAACGACATTCGCGTACAAGACGTGCTTCGACCAGATCGCGTCGCTGGCGGAGGCCACGTACGACGAGACGGGGCAGCTCATCGACGGCGGCAGCGACCTCAACATGGGCGGGCTGTGCGGGTGGGTGGGATGAGAAGGGCTGTGCGGGTGGGTGGGTGGGTGGGTGGGTTGGTGAGATGGGCTGTGCGGGTGGATGGGCTGTGCGGGTGGGTGAGATGCAAAGGCCTGTCTGGTGAAGGTAGGACTGGTGCAGGTGAGGACGCGCGGGTAGGTTGGGTGGATGCATGGATTGTCTCGCTGGCGGAAGCCACGTACGACGAGATGCGGCAGGCATCCATCCATCCGTCCGTTTCTCCATCCATCCATCCATCCATCCATCCATCCATCCATCCATCCATCCATCCATCCATCCATCCATCCATCCATCCATCCATCCATCCATCCATCCATTTATCCATTTATCCATCCATCCATCCATCCATCCATCCATCCATCCATCCATCCATCCATCCATCCATCCATCCATCCATCCATCCATCCATCCATCCATCCATCCCATTCCATCCCATCCCCACAATCCTCCCATTTCCTCCCCCCCCCCCCCCCCACACACCTTCCCCCCGCCCCTTTTTTTTCCCACATCATGTCTGTATCGTCTAGAATTCCCCCCTCCCTCTCCCTCCCGTCCACCCTCTCTCCCTCCCCCCCCCCCCCCACCCCAACCCTCGCCTCTTCCCCTTCGACCTTTTGCAGCTATCTGCATGACATCATATACATCACCGCTTTCGTCCAGATCGCCTCCATTCTATCTGACTGGTTCTGGCTCATCTACCTCATTGTACGCTGGCCATATACCTTGCCATACCATACCTTACCTTGCCATACCATACCATACCTTACCTTGCCATACCATACCATACCATACCATACCATACCATACCATACCATACCATACCATACCATACCATACCATACCATACCATACCATACCATACCATACCATACCATACCTTACCTTACCTTACCTTACCTTGCCATACCATACCATACCATACCATACCATACCTTACCTTGCCATCCCTTGTCGTGCCATCCCTTGTCGTGCCATCCCTTGTCGTGCTCATTGCCTGGCCGTGGGGCGTTGTTTCTTCATTCCAGTACCATGGTATTCGAGTCCACCTTTGTTTCTTCTCTCCCAGCGTTCCGTCTGAATCATAGCACCCTTGCTCTGTGGAAATCGTGATGCTTGAAAGTCAACCAGCTGCGCTCCCATGCTTGAAATTTAAATCATGAGACCCTTTTTGGATAAAATCTCGAAGCTTGCAAAACTGGTCATGAGACCCTTTTAGTCCGTCTGTCTGTCTCATGGACCCCTTTGGATCATAGCACCTTTTTTTTCTGTTAAAACTCCGATGCTAGAGATTCACCCCGATTGCTCCTCCCCTTGTCTTCCCCTTCCTCCCACGTCCAGAATCCCGCCTTCAGAGTGAGGAAGCTATGGAAGCTGGTTTTCTCCACTTACCATTTTTCCCACAGCTGAAAGCATGCACATTGCACACTCTCCATCTGTTCGCCCCCGCCCCACTTCCCTCTCAGGTTCCAGCCTTGCATTGTGGAAGCTATAAACAGCACATGCTGTACCTTTACGCTTTCCCAAATCCTCACTGCCTTGCTCCCTCCTTCTCTTTGTCGCCCCCTCTCCACCCTCTCTTCCCTCTCGCCCTTTTCAGATCCCGGGCTTTGCGTTGTGGAAGCTATGGGAGCTCGTGCTCTACCCCTACTTCTTCCAACAGCTGATAGTTTGCATTCGCACCTTGTGTTTTTTCCCCTCTCTTCCCACTCAGATCCCGGGCTTTGCATTGTGGAAGCTATGGGAGCTCGTGCTCTACCCCTACTTCTTTCAAAAAGTGGAACCTGTGAGTAATCGCCTACCTGCTCTCCCTCACCCAGCTCTGCAAGACTTGGTTGAAACCCTTGATTTGCCTTTTCAATTTGCTTTGAGATGTAGAGGAGACTGTGATTCCAAGAAGGACCTTTTTGTTGTTTGTTGTTTTTTTCCCCCCGGTTTCTTTCTGTGACCTGTTTTACACAGGGAGAGGAAGATCCGAGAGATAGGAAGAAGAGGGAGAAAATGGAGCGTAAAGCAGACAGGGCTGCACGGTTATCCAAGGGACGGTGACATATTTGTCACACTGTTCGAGAACTGTGGCTTAGGTTAATGATAATTACAATGATGTAGAATCTATCCATCGCCACATAGCAATCATTTACCCAGCTGTCTGGTATTTCCTAATGGAACAAATCTGTCCACATTCCTTGCTTCACATCACATGGCACCTGTTAGTCCACCCATGCTGCTGATGAGCTAGGTCAAGCACGGTACTAGTACAGGTATGTGAGTACCATGAACTAAAAGTACTAAGTACGTCCATAGTGAAGAAAGCATTGTTGGGCTGAAAATTAGCCCTTAGGATCTTTGCAGAGGAGAACTCTTGGGTAGAAACTTGTAATAGCGGAAGCGTTTAATGAGGATTGTGAACCGACCTTGCACTGGTGTGTGAGAGCAAAGTAGATTGAATTAAACAAGCAAATACAAGGATTTATATAAGAGTACAGGGAATACGAATAGATAGGTAGATAACTGTATTGCTGTTGCGGTTCGATACAGTGCGACTCGGGCAACTGCTCTGTAACGAGTCAGTTGTGTGTCCTTAACTGTCGCGCTGTGATTGTCGAGTCAAAGGTCAGCGACCTTTGACTTTCTCGTAACCTCCAGGCGGTTACCCTAACCTCCGAGGTTGACTCGATGCTTCGATTGGGACTGCTTCGCTTGGTGCCTTGGGTTTTGATACGACAGAAGCGCACTTAGGACTTATTGTTTCCAACACTCCCCTTCGCTTCTGGAGTGTCGCTGCTGGTGACGTGGCCTTGTCCAGTCAGCATCATGCAGTATTCGAACTTCTGCTTTCCGAGTTTCTTGGTCAAGTAATCGGCTGCCATCTCGGATGTTGGGCAGTATGACAGATCGAGTTTCCCTTTTTCTATCTCGTCCTTCACGAAGAAATAGCGCAGGGCGATGTGTTTCGTCCTATTCGCGAAGCCGTTTTTGTTGGCGATGCGAATTGCCGACTGGTTATCGCAGAACACGGTGAAGCTGGGTAACTCGGCTAGTTTCGCTTCTTCCAGTAGTTCGCGAAGGTAAAGTCCCTCCTTGGTGGCTGAGCAGAGTGCGATATATTCTGCTTCTGCTGAAGATAGTGCGATTAACTCCTGCTTGCTTGACTGCCAGGAGATAGGACCGATAGGCTCAAGGCGGTAGACATAGCCGGTGCGTGAGCGCCTGTTGTCGGTGTCGCCGGCGTGATCGGCGTCGACGTAGCCGATTAGTTTGGTCGGTGTAGTAACGTTTTTGTGATAAGTTAGTCCGATCGTCGCGGTGCTGACGAAGTAGTGGAGAGCACGATCGAGTTCCGCCAGATGCTCTGCTTCAGGTCTCTTGAGATAGGTAGCGAGCTGACTCGCGGAGTAGGATAGGTCGGGACGGCACGTGACTGCTGCGAAAAGAAGGCATCCTAGCTTCTTCTGATAGTCGCGTATGCCGGCGGGTTTAAGTAGAGTAGATTGCCCCTTTTCGGTTCCTGACGCGTAGCGATAAGGCGTGGAGATGGCGCTTGGTGTGAGACGAAAGCGTTTCGCGATAGTGTCGGCGTACTTCTCGGCGCTTAGGTAGATTGCGTTTTCTTCCTCACGGATGTTGAGCCCGAGGTATTGCGTAACCGTAGAAGAGACCGTGAGCGTGAGGTCTTTCTGGAGCTCCCCTTCGAACCACGCGGCGATGTTGTCGGTTGACCCAATGTAGAGAAGATCGTCCACATAGACGATTAATAGGACGTAATCGCCTCCTTTTGTGAGGCGATACATGCCCTGATCATGCGGGAGTTGTTTGAAGCCGATGCGGATGAGGCGGGCGTGTAGGTACTGCTGCCACAGTCGCGGTGCCTGCTTGATCCCATAGAGTGATTTGAGTAGTTGACACACTCGGTTGGGTTCGCCGTGGGAGCCGTGCGGGAGTTCAACGAAGATTTCTGCATCCACAGGTGCGTAGAGAAATGCGTTCGCAACGTCGATCTGTCGCAATTTCTTTTTCTTCATGGCGGCGACGGCGATGAGGATTCGGAGTGAGGTGTGGCGACTGACCGGAGCGAAGGTTTCGGTGTAATCTCTTCCGTGCTCCTGGTCGAAGCCACGTACGACCCAGCGGGCTTTGAATTTGTCGATGGTGCCATCAGCTTTCGTCTTCACACGGAAGACCCATTTTCCGGTAAGAATGTTTTTATTTTGAGTTACGCCGATGGGAACAATTTTCCAGGTGTTGCGCTCCTCCAGTGCCTTCAGCTCTTTGTCCATAGCTTCACGCCATTTCTCCCTGTGTTCCCCCCCCAGAGCCTGCTGAACCGTCGCAGGCTCCTCAGGAATGCCGACGCCATGGACTGCGGTGACGAGACCAAGGATTTGCAGCCCAGTCTGTGAGTATCGAGGGAGTTCTGGATCCTCGGGATAAGCTGCTTCGTCTCCCGTTTCTGGGTCGGGCATGAAATTTGGCCCTACCCTTTCTGCTTCGTTGGTGTTGACTGTCACAGGTGTTACGTAACCATCGTCGGCGAAACGGTAGAAGATTTCGGCGTTGTTACTGTCGCGAGGATTATCCTCATCCATGGGCACGTCGACGGAGCAGTATGGGAGAGGTCCGGCTTCTTCTGAGGCGTTGTCGACGTTCTGTTCATCCCAGTCTGCTTCGTCCGCTGCTGACGCGAAGGCTCGGTCACCACGAAAACCACTGGTGAGGTCCCGATTCTCGTGCAAGTTGGCGAGGTACGTCTGAAGGGTGAGTCTTTCGTAGAAGATCACGTCACGTGCTGCTACTGTTTCCTTTGTGTGGACGTCGAAGATTTTCCATGCGTTGTAATTTTTCTCGATGCCGAGGTGTAGTCCCCACTGTGCCCGTTGCGAAAATCTTCCCGCTCGTGCTTCTGGGGGTCTGTACTGTACCATGCACCCGAAAACTCGTAACATTTTCGTGCTGCCCTGCTTCCCTGTCCACAGCAGATGCGGTGATGCGTTGTTCGGGAGTGACGACGACGACAACAAGTTGTGCAGCATGACAGCGTGGTCCATTGCTGCTGGCCACTGGTGGTTGGGTAGCCGCATGCCACGTAACAGTTTGCGCATGCTGTTCTGCAGGGTCCTGTTCAGTCGTTCTGCAACACCTTGCTGCTGATGTGCGTAGGGAAGGGAGAGGAGTTGCTTGATCCCCTTTTCCGCCAAGAACTGCTTGAAGCGCTGAGAGGTGTACTCGCCACCTCCGTCTGACTGTAAATTTTTCAGTTGTGTTCCAGACTCTCTTTCTGCTATCGGTAGCCAGGCGGCGAATGCTGCGAGCGCCATGTCGCGGCTGGGTAGGTTGCGATGCCAGACGTGTCGAGTAGCAGCGTCGATGAAGGTGATGGTGTAGTTGTAGTTGACTTGTCCTGGTTCGCGATTGTAGAGGATGTCGCTGTAGACTTTTTCGAGTGGTGCGTACGCTGGAGCGCTCGGGTTGTGATGTGAAGCAAACGGTCGATGAGGTAAGTCAGCTTCGGGACATATAAGGCAAGTCCCTCGTGCCTTCTGGAGTTCTCTGCCATCGGGTAGAAGTAGAGAGTCTTTGTCGAGGACTCCTGCTCTTATCGTGTTATTCAAAACCGTGTTGCTTGGATGTCCTGTGCGTGCGTGCCAGATCTCTTCAGAGGCGCGGTGTCCGGGTGAACGCTGATATGCGTCGGAGTTGGAGTAAAAGCTGGCGACGAGGTTGGCGCTTCGGTGGACTTCACGCTGAGTCGGATTCAGCTGTTGTGCGGGTGTTGGTGGTGCGTCGTCGACTGTGACTGGTGTCGTTGTTCCTGCTGCTGCTGATGTTGTTGCTGCTGTCGATGTTGTTGCTGCTGCCGATGTTGTTGCTGCTGTCGATGTTGTTGCTGCTGTCGATGTTGTTGCTGCTGCCGATGTTGTTGTCTCTGCTTCTTGTTGAATCGTTGCTAACGCTCTTGTTCGTTCTGCTTCAGGGATAGTGTGGGAGTACCAGAAACCTCCCGGGCTGAAGTCGGGGTCGATATCCGGAGGGTGTGTCCATTCAGCAAAGTTCACAATGGCGTCGCTGTGTGCAGTGCCGAGGTCGGGAGCGAAGTCGAGGACGAAGACGTTGTTCTTCAGCACTGCTTTCCCGATGTAGAGACCGCCTCTTCCGTGGTAAAGCTTGAACTCCTGGGTCGTGCTGTCGGCTTCCAGGTGAATTCCTTTCGCCATCAACTGGCTAACGCTCAGTAAGTTGTAGCCGAGTCCTTCAGCGATGAGTACCTTAGACATGTGCAGTATGACATTTGTTTCTCTTGACTGAAGCTGTACCACTCCTTGTCTTCGTGTGCGCAGGTTTTGGTTGTTGGCAACCGTGATGATCACTTCCCGTTGGAGTCGATGTTCGCGTTGTACGAAACGCCCGGACGAGCACATGTGTTGCCCGCAGCAACTGTCCAAGAACCAGGTGTCTTGGCCGGACGGTTCACTTTGAGCAATAGCGGCGTAAGTCGGATTTGGATGGAGTGATTCGCGACGAGGCGTCCTGTTGTCGAGCTCCTCTTCCGGTGAGTAATGGGGTGGTGACTCTGTTATGCAAGAGTCGTTTATCTTGGCCATGCAGTTGACTATATGTCTTGCTCCTTGTGCAGGTTGTCCAGTTGAGGTCGTTGAAGCTTGAATCGTGGTTGTCGAACTTGCTTGTGTCGAAGCAACTTGGGTGCTTGAAGGCCGCAGTTGTCGCTGTGGTGTTGTCTGTCGAGACGGGCAGTGCGTGCGTGGGTGTCCTGATGTCTTGCAGATGTGACAAAATGGAGGTACTAACTTCGGCTGCTGCTGTCGATTGTTGTAGTAGTTGTGTCGTCGCTGAGTATGGAAAGCAAACTCCGGTGCTAATGTCCTTTTCTTGTGTCTTTCTTCTTGCAGGTCCATATCCTGCTGTTCCGCGTGAATTTTTGCGCAAAGTGCCGCTTCGGAGATCCTCCCGTGTGCTCGAAGAATTGCTTTGGTGGCGCGCCACTGAGGACCGAGGCCGCCGATGACGACTGTTACGAAGGCGTCTTCAGAGATTGACCCTCCACATCGAAGAAGCTTGTCGCGCAATTCGCGACATCGGCTGATATACGCCAACCCTTTTTCTCCTGGTTTCATTTCCACTGTTGTCAGCTGCGCCATTAACCTGCTCTGGTTTATACTGTCTGTTGCCTGGTACAGGTTCTTCAGATGGCCGTACGCGAGTTCCGCCGAGTTGCCGAAGTTCCGGTAGGAGCGAATGTTCTGCTGTTGGGTTGGTGTGATGTTTCTCAGTAGAATAGTATACGCCATCATGGATTGATACGTATACTGCTGCTTTTCATACTGTGTCCCGTTTGCTGGATACTGCAGGGATCCGTCGAAGAAGCCGAGTATCTGCGCGCCCTCCATCATCAACTCGAATTCAAAGGATCGGGTAAAGAAGTCATTTCCGTCGAAAGGTCTTGACGTCTGTAGTTTCAGAACATGCGCGAACTGCGACTGTACTTGTAAGGCATCCATTGGTTTGTCTTGCGCAGGTGGAGGTTGAGGCAGGAAGCTGATCGACCCGCGTTCGTACCGGGCGAAGGTGGGTTGCTGCTGTTGATTCCCTCGCGCATATGACGACCCGTCAAGGCTCATGGGTGTCGCTCCGTTGTTGCTGTTGTGTGTATGTGCAGGTCCCGACTGCTGGTGTTGCTCGTAGAAGGACATGAAGGAGAAAAATTTCTCCATCATGCTCTGGTCGAAGTCAGAAGGATGGTTCGTGGGGGTCTCGGTTGACGTTCCCCTTGGTCTTGCTGCCGTGCCTTCCTCTGTCTGCAGGCCAGAGGCTGGTGGTGGAGTAGGAGTAGTGCCCGAGGAGCCATTAGGGGAGCTCCTTTCCTTGTTTGTTGCCATGTCTTGTAATGATAAAAAAGTTAGAGTTTTCCCCTGTCAGCTCTCATACCATGTTGGGCTGAAAATTAGCCCTTAGGATCTTTGCAGAGGAGAACTCTTGGGTAGAAACTTGTAATAGCGGAAGCGTTTAATGAGGATTGTGAACCGACCTTGCACTGGTGTGTGAGAGCAAAGTAGATTGAATTAAACAAGCAAATACAAGGATTTATATAAGAGTACAGGGAATACGAATAGATAGGTAGATAACTGTATTGCTGTTGCGGTTCGATACAGTGCGACTCGGGCAACTGCTCTGTAACGAGTCAGTTGTGTGTCCTTAACTGTCGCGCTGTGATTGTCGAGTCAAAGGTCAGCGACCTTTGACTTTCTCGTAACCTCCAGGCGGTTACCCTAACCTCCGAGGTTGACTCGATGCTTCGATTGGGACTGCTTCGCTTGGTGCCTTGGGTTTTGATACGACAGAAGCGCACTTAGGACTTATTGTTTCCAACAAGCATGACGGCATTTGGCGGTAGAAGCAACAAAATCACAGCAGTAACTACAGTTCTCCTAACAAAAGCCGGAGTAATTGAGTCGTCTTCGCATTCAAACTATCAGAGCGAGGTTTCGGTCCTCGGACCTGTGGGTTATGGGCCCACCACGCTTCCGCTGCGCCACTCTGATATGTATACAACGTTCAACAAATAAATACTATACACTATTTGCAAAAGGGATCTGGCAGCCTTTTCTTTAGCTATAAGTAACAACTGTCCTTCCAGTCCAAGCCATTTGAAAGGTGCCTCGTTTTGAGAGGCCAGGTCAGGTGTACCGTACATCATCTCTCGGAACAGAAAAGGGTCGACCATGCAAAATCTCCTCTTGGGCCCTCCTACCTCACCACCACCACCCAACAAGATTACAGACCAACATGTTATAAATAGCCCCTTTTTACGCAAAGCAAGCCAAGCCAACTGTAAGAACTTTGTTCCCAGAGGCCCAGGGGTCAAACCGTAAAGGCCATGCGTAAAAAAACAAGCTAAGGTTAAAACACCTGATCAGACGTCCACCCTCTCATCTTCCCTCGGAACAGAGTAGGGCCTGCCGTGCAAGCACTCCCCTTGAGCCTTCCTCCCACTCCCACCCACACTTCCTCCTCCTGATTCCTCCCCTTCACCATCCGACACCCCACTTCTCCCCAAATCCCCCATCTCAATCCCTATTTCTGAACCCCTCCCTCTCCCCCTCTCCCTCCTCTCCCTCTCCTCCTCTTCTTCCTCCTCATCACTGCTCCCTATGAATGCAGTGGCTTCGGCCAGCTGCTGTTTCTCCAAGGTGCTGAGCGGTTGGGAGGGGTTCTTGTGCTGGAAGGGCCAGATGCGGCGCTCTATGCAGCAGGAGAGGAGGGCAGCAGTGCAGCTGATGGCTGCTGCTGCTGCGAGGAAGATGAGGAATGGGAGCAGCGGGTACCAGGAGTCGCCTTGCAAGAGAGCTGGGGGGCGGGAGAAGTGGAGGGGAAAAAGAAGGGGAAAAATTGGGGGGCGGAGGAGATTATAAAAGAGAGGAGGGCGGCAGTACAGCTGATGGCTGTGTGTGGTGAGGCAAGGTGCTGTGCGGTGGGATGCACTTGTGGTACGGCTTGATGCAGCAGGAGAGGAGGGCGGCAGCAGTACAGCTGATGGCTGCTGCTGCAGCGAGGAAGATGAGGAACGGGAGCAGAGGGTACAAGGAGTCGCCTTGCAAGAGAGCTGGGGAGGAAAAAAGGAGGGGGGCCAGGAGGAGAAAGGGGAAACAGTCGCCTTGTACCTTCAACTGGAGAGTGGTCGTGGCGGCTTGTAAAGAGTGAATCTTTGAGATGTCTCAAGAATTCACTCTTTACACGAGGCAGTCATGGCAGCTCAATGCGACCTTCAACTTCCCATCCACCCACTGCGTCACATGCCCCTCCTTGCTGCTGCTGTTGAAAGCACACCCACCTCTTTTCCTCCTGCTAGAGAAATCATGCATACGTACCCTCAGTACGGGAAGCAAGCACTGAATTTGTACCTTCCACAGGCGAGTGGTCGTGGCTGTTGAGGCAGTCAGGGCAGCTCATCGCCACTTTAAACTCCCCATCCACTCACCGCGCCACATGGCCCTCCTTGCTGCTGTTTATATATGCCTACTCCTGTTTAATACGTACCTTCCACAGGCGAGTGGTCATGGCTGTTGAGGCAGTCCGGGCAGCTCATCGCCACTTTGAACTCCCCATCCACCCACCGCGTCACACGGCCCTCCTTGCTGCCCCTGAAGTCATCCGCGCACAGCTGGAACTTGTCAAACGTATCATCTGCCTTGAACGTGTCAGCTTCGTATAGGCCGCAGGTCTTGCACTGAGCATTTGCGAGCTCTACCAAGGGCTGTGATGATGGGGAGGTGAGGTTGTGGGAATGGTAGGAAGGTAAGGAGATTTTACTTCAAACGGAAAGGCAGTTGGAAACTGGTGCATCAGCCACCCCTCAAGTCATCCGCACACAGCTTTTACGTCGACTCAAAAGCCGCCCCTCAAGTCATCCGCACAAACACAGCTGGAACTTGTCAAGGTATCGTCAGCCTTGAATGCATCGGATTCATAGAGGCCGCACGTCTTGCACTGAGCAGAGTGCACTTGGCAGACTGCACTTGGCAGACTGCACTTGGCAGACGCGAGGTCGACCAGGGGCTGGATGGATTCAGAGGGCAGGCATGAGTGGGGGAGTGCAGAGTGGGTGGGTGTGAGGATGGTAAGTCAGTCAGAAATCCCTCCTTGGCATGGCACCCCTCAAGTAGTCACTGCACATAGCTCAACTGAAACTTGTCGAAAGTGCCACAGGTTTTGAATGTACTACCGCCCCGTACAAGCTGCACGTCTTGCACTGGGAGAGGCAAGCTCGACCAAGTGAAAGGAGGAGTGTTTTGAGACGTCTCAAAACACTCCTTCTTTCACGTGACTTTTGAGGGCTTTTGAGACGTCTCAAAACACTCCTTCTTTCACGTGACTTTTGAGGGCTTTTGAGACGTCTCAAAAGTCGTCTTGCACTGGGAGAGGCAAGCTCGACCAAGACTTTTGAAGGTCACGTGGGAAGAGGGCACAAGTAAGAGAAGGAGGGGTAGGTGGAGAGGGCATGTGGTTAGTCAGCCGCCCCTGAAGTCATCCGCACACAGGCGGAACTTGTCAGATGTATCGTCAGCTTTGAATGCAGTGGCTTCATATATGCCACAGGTCTTGCACAGCCAAGATGCGAGCTCAGCAAGGGGCTGGACGGGCAGGGGCATGAGTGGGGGGAGGTGGAAAGGTGGAGAGGGTTAGGTGGACAGGAAAAGGTGGTCAAAAAGTTGTCAATGGTATCGTCTCGTCACCTTTTCAAGGGTGAGTCAGCTGCCCCAAAAGTCATCCGTGTACGGCTTGAGCTTGTCAAAGGTATTGCCGGCTTTGAATCTTTTTTCCTTGTATAGCCCGCACGTGTTTTGAGGCGCCTCAAAAGTTTTTCCTTGTATAGCCCGCACGTGTTGCACAGGGCAGTGGCGGAAGGAAAGGAGGAAGGAGAGGGAAGGGGAGACGGTGGCTCAGCTGCTTCAGCTGCCCCTGAATTTTTCATCTGAAACATCTGAAAACCACCTGAAACCCAGCGGCCCAGAAGTCATTCAGCACGTCCTACAACTCGCCTCAACTGAAACACCTGAAATTCCTCCTGGCCGGTGAGTTCGTAGATAAGGTTACCCGCAGCACCCCCTGCAGCATGTGGCGCATCTCAATGTCAGCTCGACCTCCTGAAACGCACCTGAAAGCACCTGAGGCCCACCTGAAATTCCTCCTGGCCGGTGAAGTTGTAGGTGAGATTAGCCTGCACCACGCCCTGCAGCACGTGCTTCATCTCCCCCTCGCACTGGAAGTAGACGGAGGGGTCCCAGGGCGAGTAGGACGAGTCGTGTGTCGTGTCGAGGCGGAGGTGCGTTATGGTCACGTTGGCCGCTGATTGTGGGGGGGGGCGAGGGGAGGGTAGGTGGGGAGAGGGGTAGGAGTTGGGGGAAGGGTAAGGGTATGGTAGGTGACACGTGCCTCATCTCGCCCTCGCACTGGAAGTAGACGGAGGGGTTCCAGGGCGAGTAAGGCGAGTCGTGTGTCGTGTCGAGGCGCAGATACGTTATAGTCACGTTGGCAGCTGCACAGGGACGAGTGGTACACAAAGGCAGAAGGAGGGGGACGACGAGGGGGAGGGGGAGATGCGCTGAAAAAAACACTTTAAGGGCCCGGGGCGAGTAGGGCGAGTTGTGTGTCGTGTCGAGGCGGAGGTGCGTTATGGTCACGTTGGCAGCTGCACAGGGAGGCGAGGGGAGAGAGTGGGAGGAGGGAGAGGGTGGGAGCGGAAAGGGTAGGAGGGTGTGGTGGGAGGAGGGGCAGGGGAGGAGGGGTAGGGGAGGATGCATTGCAAGCACCCCGAGGGGCGAAGACTCTGGTAGGAAGGAGGGAATGGGGGAGGGCGGGGAGAGGGGGGGATGGTGACTCAGTGAGGGAAGACGCTAATAAATCAAAGGGCCTACTAGACGTGAGCATGGAATACTCGACGTTATTGTCGCGTTTGCAGCGCAAGAGAGGCAGAGCGGAAAGGAGGGGAATGGAGCGGGAAAGGGGGGCCGGGGGGGTTGTGGGGGGAAAGGGTGGGGGTTGTGTGGGGAAGTGTGAATAGCGAGAGGCGAAAGCGACCGCCTTTAGGTCGACACAGAAGTAGAATTTGAGCGGAGATGGCTGAAAGACGCGTTTGCAGCAGGATAGCGGAAAGGACGGGGAGGGGTAAAAGGGGAAGGGGGCGTAGAGGGAAAGGAAGGGAGGGTGTTTCAAAGAAGAACAGGGGGAGGGGAAACCGGGTGCATTACTAGAGGCTAATCACATGAAACTCCCGGAGCAATCGAGGAAGAATCACAGAATGGTCTTTTTAAAAATTAATGCTAAACATCAGAATGGGATTCCATCTCCCACATCACTCGAGGGAGACAGAACCGTCCCGTCAAGGTTGCGACGAATCATACGCACCTCTCGCGACGGCTGCGACGAATGCGAGCACCATTGACGAGACCGCGACGCGCAAGAGCGACCATTCTAAGCATCGTGGCCGCGCCATAATCAAAACTTGTCGACTGCGGCGTAACGGAGTAAATATTTTATATAATATAATACGAAGTCTTTCTTGTTCCTCCTATTCACGCTGGTGGTCCGTCGTGGATTGGTAAAACCAATTACGGAGCAATCCTTACATTCATGGATCCCCCCCCTGGAATTACCAGAGTGAATCTTGATGGATCCTAGGTTTTGCAAGACATACTGTGTTTGTGTGTGCATTCCAATCCAGGGGGGATGAACCTCAGGGAGGATTCAGACAGACATTGACATCGAGTTGAAAGCGATCTTCATTGCGAGAAGGGGTTGACCTCAAGGCAGATTCAAGGGCCGACCCCCAAAAGCCTAATGCTGATACGGCATCCCAAGGTGCGGAATATATCATGTTTATGGTATTTTATTTGCCCTCCGTTACGCTTTTGGGTCGGTGTGGAGTCCTGGAACCCGAGCGAATCTGTGCCCAAATGCAACAAAAGACGTCACCATCATGAAACAAGTGGTAACAAAAGCCTGCTTCTTTTTCGGGAACCCCAGATGATGGCCCGAGGAACTGAAATGCATGGAAACCTTGCATGATGCCGTAAGACCTCGGATGCCCTACAAAAATTCCTAAAGCCGTTCCCTTTTTTGTAACAAACCGTCAATTAACTTCCTGAACCGCATCGAAATGTGTTGTTGCGACACACCCTCAGAACGCCATCCCATGCCCCAAACAGAACCTGAACGCGTTCGAGCGCCCAGATTCCGGTCACATACACCAATAACCTCGAGATTCCCGCCGTTGCGAGGTGTCGCGAAAACTTCAGCAGGCACGTGATACGCTCAGGCAGCTGCCGTGCGAAAATCTCACGAAAATCCAAGGGTGTGACGAAGACCTGACTTCTTCGTCAACAATACTTTTCTCGGTTGCTATGCCGCCTTGGCGAGTATCAGGGTGGTTCTGCTTGAGCTTTTCACAAACCTCCATCTTTCTTCGTTTCTTGATAATGCAACCACAGCACACACATCTGGTACCAAGAATAGGCTGCTATTTTCTTGACACAACGAGCGCACACTTCGTCAGGATAGGGCGACGTCTCGTGTTCCATCGATCTTCCCCGCATATCACGCTCTACTGGATACGTTGAACCCTCTTATGATGATTCCTGACCTGATATCCTCACAAGGTATATTCTAGTACGGTTAGTGTTATAACTAATGAAATTGATAGTGTAACTTTCTAGCGGTTCAGGCTGTCGTCGTCTCATTTTGAATTGAGCCGTTCAAACATGAAATGAGTCCTTGACTTGAGCTTGCATGGCTTTTCGGAGCGGTTCGTTCCTTTTAGATGCCATATTAAGCTCATGAGCTCTCGGAACGGCTAGGTCTGTCTAGCTGCCATCACGGTTCAAACATGGACTGAGCCTCTTTCTTAAGCTCGCATGGACGCCATAGCTTTCCATAGCGGTGGCTCGTCTTCGCGATCGCAAAAAATCACCAATCCGCGCGACCGTCGCTCGCCGTTCACCAATCCGTTTTGGCGACTTCAGCATCAGGAGCAGCAGCATGAGCAGCATGAGCATCAGGAGCAGCAGGAGCAGCAGCAGCGGCCGTTTGATCAAAACCAGCAGAATTCGGAAGAGGCGCAGCATGAGCAGGAGCAGCTGGAGCAGCAGGAGCAGCGAGATCGTTATCAGCAGCATCTGGAATTGACGGCTGAGAAGCTGCGGAGGGAGTTGGAGGCAATGCTGGTCGCAGATGTGGACAGAGATGTGGCGTTCCAGGTCAGACTACATACGATAAGAAAATGCTTCTTCTTTTTTTGTTTTCTTCTCCTTGAAAAAGGGGGACAAGTTATGTGAAAAGGCGACTACTTTGTTTATTTACACGGCAGCTGAGCTTGCTACTTTGCTATTTTCCCATCCGGGCGGGCCCCTTTTTTCCACTGACCCACTCATCCATGACCGTTCTCCTCTGTCCCTACAATCACCCTTGCCACGTCAGCTCAAGCTGACGAGCAAGCTGGACCAATGGCACGCTTTTCACGAGAGAGCGACAAGAAGGCTTTCTGGTTCCGCGGACGGCGCTGGGCCTTCAACCAACCAAACCGCCGAGGTACAACCGCTGGAGGCTGACCAATCCGATGGTTCCACGTGTCCATCTGAGCAATCTGGTGATGAGGCCGAAATTCGGGCAGCAGAAGCTGAGGCTCGGGCAGCAGAGGGTGTAGCGCAGGCAGCAGAGGGTGAAGCGCGGGCAGCATCAGGTGAAGCACGGGCGGCAAAAGGTGTTGCGCTGGCAGGAGCAGCAGCACTTGAAGCGCGAGAGGCCAAAGCAGCAGAATCTGAGAATGCAGCAGTCGCACCAAAACAGCTGGAAGCAGCAGCAGATGCTCGAGGGGCTGCTTTGGAGGCAGCACTGCAGGTGCAACGAGAGGAGCTAGAGGCTAAGGCAGCAGTGATACAGGAGCTGCAGGTGAGATTACACGCAGCAGCAACAAGAGAGGCGGGTTTGGAAGCTTCTCTGAAGCTGCAACGGGAGGAGCTCGAGGCGAAAACAGCAGAGGCGTTGGCAGCACGAGCAGCAGAAGTGGCAGAGCTGCAGCAGCAGTTAGACGTGGCAGTCGCCCGCGAGGCGGCTTTTGACGCGTCCCTGAAGCTGCAGCGCGAGGAATTAGACGCAAAGGCAGCAGAGGTGCAGGGCCTGCAGGAACAACTACAAGAAGCGGGTGTTAGAGAAGCGGCTTTTGATGCTTCTCTGAAGCTGCAACGAGAGGAGCTAGAGGCAAAGGCAGCAGAGGCGTTGGCGGCACAGGCTGGGATGGAGGAGAGGAGGCGGGTGCGGGCTGCAGAAGAGGCTGCTGCTCGGTTGGCGGAGGTGGAGGTGCGGTTTGGAGAGGTGGAGAGGGAGAGAGAGCGGTTGGCGAGGAATCTGAGTCGGCTGCAGCAACACCTGCTGGATAGGGTGAGTGGGTGGTGATGGGGGAGGGTTGGGAGGGTGAGTGGAGGTAGTGGGGAGGGTGATGAGGAGAAACTGCACATCTGTGTCGGTAACAGCTGTAAGAATACTGCTGTACGATCATCATACGTTTCCAGTGTCTCCATTCCCCTCCTTTGTGATTTGTTCAGGATGCTGACGATGCACTGCGTTTGGAGCGGGAGGCTGAGAGGATATGCCAGCTGGAGTGCCAGCTGGCGGATAAGGCGAAAGCTCTCGGCCAATCAGAGTGCGAGAGGGTTGTTCTGGAGCGACAGCTGGCGGATAAGGCGAGCCAGCTCGGCCAATCAGAGCGGCGGAGAGTGCGGCTGGAGCAGCAGCTGGAGGAGAGGAGCAGGGAGGTTCGGGAGGCTCGGATGCAGCTGGCTCGGCTGCAGGCGCAGGCTTGGGCCGAGCCTGCTGGACAGGCGAGGCAGATCGATTTGTGTGATAGGGGGCTATCACAAGTAGAAGGAGAGGGTGGGGTTGTAAGGGCAGAGGAAGCAGAGGAAGCGAGGGGAGCGGGAGAGGAGAAGCAGGAGAGACAAGGCATGAGCCAGAAAGAAGTGTTACCGAGCGTGGCACCAGGCTTGGCAACAGGCTTGGGAACAGGCTCGGCAGCAGCAGGCACGTTACCAGGCGTGTTACCAGATGTGTTACGGCAGGTGTTAGAAGCGGCTCATCGACCAATCGCGACAGGCCATCCCATGTGCATGCATGCTGGGATGCTGGCGAGCGTGCCACCCATGGAGGATGGAGATGCATCACGTGCTGCTGACGTGGCATCCCATCATGCATCGCATGCTGACGTGGCATCCGATCATGCATCAGGGGCAGGGACAGGGGCAGCAGCACCAGTTGCAGGTGCTCGTGCTGCTGATGGGTCAGCATTTGCAGCACCATCAGCTTCAAATGCGCCAGATGCTGCAGCAGCATCGTGTGTTGGTGCATGGGCTGCAGCTGCTTCACACGCTGCAGCAACACCAGCTTTTGAGGAGGCGCGTCAAAACTCGGCGCAGGTGTTGGCTCGAGAGGCGATGTGCGCAGCAGCACAGTCGTCGCTGGAGGCAGAGGGTGCGACTGGAGCAGGAGATGCAGCAGGATCAGTGTTTGAACAGCTGTCACCATCCGATTCACCATCACCATCACCAGTCACGTTGCGCCACGGCCAATTCTTTCAGGTCTTGCTACCAGCACAAGCCGAGCCCATACAAGAATCTGCGACGCAACAACAAGCCGCTTCACAAGAAGCCTCTTCACAAGAACCAGTAGTCTTCCAACCCCATCAACCCCACGAACATGCGTCGACCACATCGCTCTCCCACAAGGCCGTATGCAGGCCTGAATTGCACAGAACCACGCAGCACAGGGTGCACCCGAGTATGTCCACCCCCTTACTCAGTCTTGAAACTCGTCTCTCCAGGGGAGAACAGCAATGCGAGAGGACAGGGAGGCTGGGACCTGGTGTGGCTGAAGCAGGGAGGGAGTGTGAGATGGCAGCTCTGGTGGAGGAGAATGGGAGGCTGGAGGCGGAACGGAATCGGGCGGAGGAGGAGAGGGTGAGAGAGGAGGAGAAATGTGCGAGGATGGGTGAGGAGATGCGTGAGCTGCGAGGCAATCTGCAGGTGTGTTTGCGTGAGCTTTGGTTGCTGGTAGATTTGAGGCGCCTCAAAGCTGCGTGATCTGCGAGGTAACCTGCAGGTGTGTTTGTGTGAGCTTTGGTTGCTGCTGGTAGAAGAGAAGGCGTTATGCTGGCAAAGGAGGCGTTATCTGAGGCAGCACAGAGCATATACCGTCTCCTTCTCCCCTCTTCGTCCCTGCCTGTTTCCCTCTCAACCGTCAGCAAGCAGAGCCGTTATGCTGGCCGAGGAGGCGTTATCTAAGGCAGCACAGGGCATATACTGTCTTCGTCTCCCGTCCTTTCTCTCCTCCTCGCCCCTGCCTGTTTCCCTCCCACGCATCAGGAGGCAGAGGCATTGTGCATCTAATGATTCGTTCCCGCTCTTACATCCCCTCCTGTTTGTTCCCTCACATCAGGAAGCGGAGGCGTTGTGCTGGCAGCGGCAGGCTCAACTGGAACAGGCGTTATTTGAGGCAATACAGAGCATCTAATGATTCCTTCCCGCTCTTACATCCCCTCCTGTTTGTTCCCTCACATCAGGAAGCGGAGGCGTTATGCTGGCAGAGGCAGGCTCAACTGGAGGAGGCGTTATCTGAGGTGGCAGCGGGGAGGAGGGAGAGGGGGGCACTAGAAGAGGAGCTGCTGCGGCTGCAGTGTGCTCTGGATCAGTGTATGCTGCGACTCAATAGCGATTCTGCTTATATGGTGGACAGGTAAGAGATGCTCATTGGGGCATGTGCAATTCCATGTTATAGCTATGTTTTCTTTGCTTCTGGTACTGCTATGGTGGCGGTGCCATCATGTCTTGTTATGACGTCGTGCTATCACGAGTTTCCTGTTGCTGGTACCAACAAGTTGGGGAATTGTTGTGAGGCTGTTTTTCTTCTTTCTTTCTTTCTTTCTTTCTTTCTTTCTTTCTTTCTTTCTTTCTTTCTTTCTTTCTTTCTTTCTTTCTTCCTTCTTTTTATGCTCGCTTGGAATTACTTTTACCATGGCAGGAGAATCGTGGTGAAGCTGCTGGTGGCATATTTTCAACGCAACCGCAGCAGAGAGGTGAGCATGTGGGTGTGGGAATGGATGGGCATGGGCATGTGCACGTGTGCAGGCACGTGTGTTGCCGTTATGTGCTCCCATGGCAACTGCTCGGATGAAGCAAATCGTGGTGAAGCTGCTGATGGCATATTTTCAACGCAACCGCAGCAGAGAGGTGCGCACGTGGGTGTGGGCAGGGACATGTGTGCACTGTGCAGGCTGTTATGTGCTCTGTAAGCAACTGCCATGGTTCACGAGAAGCATATTGTGCGAGGTGACTTTTGAGTCGACTCAAAAGTCACCAGGCTGTTATGTGTCTGAAAGACTTTTGAGGCGCCTCAAAAAAAGTCACCAGGCTGTTATGTGTCTGAAAGACTTTTGAGGCGCCTCAAAAAAAGTCACCAGGCTGTTTTGTGTCTGAAAGACTTTTGAGGCGCCTCAAAAAAAGTCACCAGGCTGTTTTGTGTCTGAAAGACTTTTGAGGCGCCTCAAAAAAAGTCACCAGGCTGTTTTGTGTCTGAAAGACTTTTGAGGCGCCTCAAAAAAAGTCACCAGGCTGTTTTGTGTCTGAAAGACTTTTGAGGCGCCTCAAAAAAAGTCACCAGGCTGTTTTGTGTCTGATGAAAGACTTTTGAGGCGCCTCAAAAAAAGTCACCAGGCTGTTTTGTATCTGAAAGACTTTTGAGGCGCCTCAAAAAAAGTCACCAGGCTGTTATGTGTCTGAAAGACTTTTGAGGCGCCTCAAAAAAAGTCACCAGGCTGTTTTGTGTCTGAAAGACTTTTGAGGCGCCTCAAAAAAAGTCACCAGGCTGTTTTGTGTCTGAAAGACTTTTGAGGCGCCTCAAAAAAAGTCACCAGGCTGTTTTGTGTCTGAAAGACTTTTGAGGCGCCTCAAAAAAAGTCACCAGGCTGTTTTGTGTCTGAAAGACTTTTGAGGCGCCTCAAAAAAAGTCACCAGGCTGTTTTGTGTCTGAAAGCAACTGCCATGGTTCAGGGGAAGCATATTCTGTAACTTGTGCGTCCCGCAACAGGTGCTAGACATGACATCATGTGTCGCGTTCTTGAGTGCTCCACGGACGAGAGGCAGCAGCTTCCCACGTCAGTCTCACCAGAAGCACTCTTGTGAGGCGCCTAAATTTCTCTCTCTGCATCATGCGCCCCACCAACAGGTGCTAGACATGACATCATGTGTCGCATTCTCGAATGCTCCAAGGATGATAGGCAGCAGCTCGAGCTGGCAGCTTCCTTTCCATTGCACCACCCCACTCTCACCAGAAGCGGCTTCCCGAGGCGCCTAAAACACCAATTGTGCCCCAACTGCACTCAACTCAATTGCAAGCCCACGTTCCATGCCATGCGCCCCTCAACAGGTGCTTGACATCATGTGTCGCATTCTTGAATGCTCCAAGGACGAGAGGCAGCAGCTAGAGCTGGCAGCTTCGCAGCCCGCTCTCACCAGAAGCGCCAGCTTCAAATCCAAGGGGAGTGGGCGGCAGGGCAGCAGCAAGGGCAGCAAGGGAGGAGTTTTCGGGCTGCCCGGACGGATCGCAGGCGGGCTTATGGGGTCGAATAGGAGCAGTTCGGAAAGTTTGGGAGGGGCTGGGAAAGATTCCCAGAAGCAGGAAGAGGTGGAAAGAAAGTCAGAGGCGAAAAAATCAGGGGTAAGATTGTGCATGACTTGCCTTTCCTTCACATCTGCTTCGAAAGCTGTCACTTGCTGTGACGAATTTCCAGGATTCGAGCTTCTGTGTTCAACCACCTGCAGTCTTTCACAGGCTTCCAGGGTGGATTTTCTTGGGGAGGAGACAGATGATGACATTTGAGGCGACTCACAAATTCTGTGTTCAACCACCTGCAGTCTTTCACAGGCTTTCAGGGTGGATTTTCTTGGGGAGGAGACAGATGATGACAAAAGAAACTCATAACTCCCCCCGCGCACATTCTTTCTCCCTGTGCTGCCTGTCTCATAACTCTAAACCCATACCCCATACCCTGCGGTCCCTCGCTGACCTTTGGGTGGATTTTCTTGTGAAGGAGACAGACGATTAGAGAGAGCGGAGTTAGGGCCAACAGCAGCAGCCACATTAGCAAGGAGAAAAGCTCAAGTTTCTTTGTCTCTGTGTTCGCCTCGTGCTTGTGTCTCCTTCCCTGCAGTCCCTCACTGACCTCTGGGTGGATTTTCTTGTGACGGAGACAGACAATGACAGAGAGCGGAGGCAGGGCCAACAGCAGCACCAGCAGCAACAGCAGCAGCAGCAAGAAAGTGGCAATATTAGAGCGAGCAGGAGCTCTCCTCCAGATTCCAATTCTTCTACCGACTCACGTTCTTGTAACGAAGGGCCTCGTCCCCCACAGCATCCAACCTACACTACCAGACAGAGCTTGCCACCCAGGTCTCCATCTCACCAACAGCAGCACATGTACCAACAGCAGCAGGCGAGACACACCCGATCTCCCTCTTATCCCCCAAGGTCTACTCCCTACCCACCACGATCACCATCGTATCCCCCTAGATCGCCTCGCTGCTCCTCTCCAGGATTTTCCCCTCGTTCTCCGGCCAGCCCGTCCAGAGTTCCTGGCCATGCTGCGTTGTTTTTCTCCCCAGGCAGCCCGCCTCTCCGGTTTTCAAGCTTGTCCCCTCGGTCTCCTTGTGCCACCAACCTCTCCGTTAGCAGCAGCCCTGTTTCCTAGAGTTCCTTCTCAGATGTAAAACAATGCATTTGTTTTTTTCCTGTTGCAAAATTATGGAGTAATTCCATGTAAAGCTTACCTTACTGTTACGGGTGCAATGAATCGAAGTAGCGAGAATTGCACTATGGGGTCAAACGAGTATTCATGTGAGCGAAGGCATGAGCGAACATTTATACGCGAAACATGCAAAACGGTAACGCGGTGCGTGCGAGCTTGCTAGTGCTACGCTGGAGCGAGGCTCGGGCTAGTCCCGAAGCGTAGGCCGATACGGCCAATGCCAGCAGTGCGAGGTTTGGCAAAACAGTGCGCGCGAAGTCGGCGAAGTCCCGTTAGCAATAACGGGCGAACAACGGCTGTTGCTGTACGCGATGTAGTTGGCTCCGTAAGGAATGCCGAGAAAATTCCTTACACTACCCCCCCCCTCAAGAAGCCCCCTCCGCTACGCGAGTGTGTGTATATCGCGGAATCCCCGGCTCCTCAGGTACACTTGCAGGGCAGGGTGGTTTTCAATGTTGGTCAGGGGCAACCAACTATCTTCAGTTGGCGTGCGGTCCTTCCAGCGAACGAGGAATTCAATCCTCCTGATTCCCGTGGGGTGGCGGATCCGATGGCTCAGGATTTTTTCGGGCTCGATGATCGGCTCCGATGCAGGGCGAGTCATTGATTGTGGGCGGTGACGCGGCAGTTGACTTGTGGTCGGTATGTATGGGCGAAGTAAGCTGACGTGGAACGAAGGGCTGATGTACCAGTCGGTTGGTAACAGTAGATGTGCGGTGACGGGTGTGATCATGTGACTGATTTGGAATGGTCCACAGTAGCGCGGTCGTAATTCCGGTACGTCGGGCAATCGCAGATTTTGCGTGTCGAGCAGCACGTAATCTCCCGATTGGTACGTGACAGGGCGGCGGTGGCGGTCAGTGTTGCGTTTAGCGATGACGTTGGCCTTTTTTATTGCTTCGGCGGCTCTGGTGCGGGCAGCTTGCAGGATTTCGGCGAATTGTTGTGCACGTGGCGTTGGGTTGTCCGGACTCGGCGTCATGGGCACTGTGGGGTTTTGCCCATAGTTCAGGTAGAACGGGGACTGCTGCGTCGTTGCTGACGTGGCGTTGTTGTACGCGAACTCGATCAGCGGCAGCTGCTGCTCCCAGGTCGTGGGGTCGTCGCATGTGGCACGAATCAACTGCTCCATCGTCTGATTCGTCCGCTCCGTTTGGTCGTCGGTCTCGGGGTGGTACGACGAACTGAACTGTAGCCTGGTCCCGAACTGCTCCCAAAGGTTCTTCCAGAAGTTGCTGGTAAACATCGTGTCCCTGTCGCTGATAATCGCTGCTGGTATCCCGTGCAGGCGAACAACGGCTGCGATGAACAGGCGAGCGGTCTCCTCGGCTGAGATCGACTTTTTGCACGCAGCGAAGTGTGCCATCTTCGTCAGCCTATCCACGACGACCATCACCGCGTCGTTACCCCCAGGGTTCGAAGGTAACCCTGTGACGAAGTCCATGGTTACTTGCTGCCAGGCGCGTTCGGGCGGTGGGATCGGCTGCAATTGACCCGCCTTCCGCTTCCTTGAACTCTTCATCACCTGACACGTGGGGCACGAGCCCACGTGCTGCTGTACGTCGGTCAACAGCTCCGGCCAGTAATAATACCGCTGCAGTTGCTGCCGTGTTTTTTCTACCCCGAAATGTCCCGAGGTAATCCCGTCGTGTGCCTCCTGCAGTAGCAGCTCCCTCAGTAGTGAGTACGCGGGTACCCAAATGCGATTGGTGCCTGTTTTTACGTAATAAACTCCTTTTGCTTCTGCCAGTTGCTGTGAATTTCCGGTCGTGAAGAATGGGTCGGTGCGGTATCCGTGGGTGAATAGGCCAGTTAAAAGCGGGTTGGTCTGGGCGAGTAGGATGACGTGGAGTTGGGCGGTGGGGCGGGTGAGAGCGTCGGCGATGTTGGATGCACCTTTTTTGTACGTAACGGTGTAGTGAAAATTGGACTCAAGATAGTCCAACCAGCGAATCTGTCGTGGGTTGAGATTCGGTTGGGCGCGAAGGTACTGTAGTGAGCGGTGGTCTGTCCGTACTGTCACGTCGGCGCCAGTCAGGTAACACCGCCAAACTTTGAACGCGTGCACGATCGCCAGCATTTCGCGGTCGTGTATCGGGTAGTTGCGTTCGGGCGGGTGTAGCTTGCGGGACTCGAACGCGATTGGCTGGAGGCCGTTCCCGAAGTCCTGCAACAGTACTGCTCCCACAGCGATGTCGCTTGCGTCGGTGACGAGTTCGAACGGACGGTGGGGATCTGCGATGTGAAGCACGGGCGGTGAGCACAAAACGTTTTTGAGGGCCAAGAAGGCAGCTTGCTCTTTCTCCCCCCACGTGTACTCAACCCCCTTCCTCAGCAGGTCGGTCAATGGGGCAGTCAGCTTCGCCATGTCGGGGACGAACCGGTGCACGTAGTTGACGAACCCCAGGAAACTCTGCAACTCGGTCAAGTTGGTCGGCGCGTGCCAAGCCTGAATCGTCGCGATTTTCTTCGGGTCTATTTCCACTCCT